ATGAAGGTCAAACATAAAAACTTAATAGAAACTTTGCAATTGAATTTTCTTCAATATTAAGGCCATCTTACATCCAAGGACTTTATGAGAAGTTTCCAGTTAGAACTTCCTTTACAACGTTGTTTACACTGTTTTATATGTATCTTGAACCAATATGGTGTTCAAGGCTAAGTTTCACAAATCCAGGCCAATAAACAACAACGGCGCAACAGGAGTGGCTAGAAGAGCTCATGGATGGACTAAACTTGGTCTTTAGTCCTGGTTCTAATTTCTGTATATGTTGACTGACACATCACACAATCCTGTCTCTTGTTAAGAATTTGTACTTTATTTATTCAATGTATGATTTTCTTTTTAACTAGACCGTTAAAATCCCTCTTTTATTTTCCTGTGCGCTGAATTGCTTTTTTTAAGTGTTCCCTAACATAAATAAAGGATTTAAATGCTACCAAAACATAACTTGTTTACCTGATAATAAAAGAATAAGCCATTATTACACGCAGAGCATGGTTTTTGTTTTTATGCCTTTTTCTGAACAGTGGGTGGTATTTCACTGTATATAAGATCACAGTTTCACCATGAATTACATTGCATGAATAAATTATGTCTAACTCCTTAATGGCAAATCTTGTTTTTGTAGATTCTGTAGAAGAGGCTCTCATTGCATTTGCAGGGAATGGTCTATTGTTAGAGGGAAAAAAATCACAGTTTTCTTAGACTAAACATTTTTTTCCTCTTGTACAGACTCTCATGGGAGTTGATGGCTGGTTGATTCTCAAAGCCATTGCAGACACATGTTATACTCCACAGATGGGAGAGTATGACACTGAAAGCCAAAGTAAAAACAGTCAATTAGTCATTAAAGAAAATGACATTTTTGCTAAAAGGTACGTTCACACATTTTACAAGCAACTTCAGAGTAGTCCTGGTACAAATGGATGTAAGGATGTACAGACATGCACTTACAGCTCTGCATACCACTCATCATTAGTTGTTTTTTTTTTTTTTTAAAGAAATGTAGACTTGTGAATGACAGAGAGCAGGATTTGCTAAATAATCCTCTTTCTGCTGCACAAAAGCATGACTTAAGCTGCTACATTGAAAACTAAGTCTCTCCAGGCTGGCATGAATTGGACTCCTTCACACCCGAGTGGCCCAACCTTTCTGATTGGTCTGTCTCTTCACTTGACACAAACACATGTTTGGTTGAGGTGCTACTGAAAAGATACTGTTATCTATCAAAATGGAGAAAGCACAGGCCTAGAAGGACCTTAGCTATAAATTATCGCTACTCCCCAAAACCCATCCCCATATCATGTGAAAAAGACTGCTGGTAATTTAAATGGTGATGGCACAACACGATGCTCCTGCAGACCAAAGCCTATCCTTCAAAAGCATAGACTGCTGCCATCAGTTGCCAAATGTGTGAGAGCAAAGGAAATGAATGTAGTTTGAAATGGATCAGCATATTTTTCATTCTCAGATTAAAACCAAAAGCTTTTAAATTGAGTGTTAATCTACACAAAAGGACTCCTGTGGTTTACCAGATGCCAAGATTATGCAGAGGAGCTGTCAAGCCTGCAGTAGGTGATGCAGTAATTTATTCAGGAAAGAAAGTACACTTTAGTACTCTAAATTAAAAAAAAATGTTTGGCAAAAATTGTTTTTTTTTCACAATGAACTAATCTTTTGATGCTTTTCAATAATCAATGTGATCCTCATCACATTTTCCAGAGCCCAAGGTGACACTTTCTCCTCATAATCCCTCTGAAAAAAACCTGCAAATAATCAACACATAATGACATGAAACAGGGAATCAACAGCAAAACACATCTGGTAGAGCTCCACCTAGGCTTGGTAGCCCTTGAATTACATATTAGTGAATATGTAGGAATTTCCACAGGCTGACTTTAAAAAATCTATAAGAAAAAATCCAGTCCACGTTTCTTTGACAGTAACAATTGTCACAGCCAAAAGAGATTGACACCTGCTGCATTAATTAACTGTCTTAATGAGGTTGAACCATAACACAAAGAACATTCTAATGAATCCTGGTTTGACTGACAGGTCTTTGAGGTTTATAATGAGAAAGAAAATCAGCCTGCATACAGTAAAACTGTTTAAATTACTGTGATTATTAGAACTTAACTCCTGCACAGACCCAGTGGCTCAGTGTTTTTAGATGTTAGATATGACATAAAATAACCAGTCATTCAGAAGTCTGAATGACTGGTATTTTATGTTGTATCTTCCAGTGTAGTATTGACATGGTGTAAAGAAATGTACTGGATGCTCTATACAGGTCATCAGTCCTGAAACCTGGAAGGAAATAAGAGCTCCTGGAAAAAAATCCATACACTGGGAATTCGCACATAGTAAGTCCATTTTTACAACAGGATAGCCAAATATTTAGTACTGTCACCAACTACAGTTACTTAATCTTTGTGCAAAAAGCCCAAAGCCACAAAACTGCTGCTGACTCTGCTTGACCTTTAAGCCCTTAGGTGGAACTGCATTAGCAACGGCTATGCTACTATAGCAGACACGCTGCCATAGACTCAGGACTACTTAGGAAAATCACTGTCACTTAACGCAGTCTGTCACTGTTTAAAAATGCCCCTTGGGACTATATCTTACAAAGAAGAAGCCATACATCATTTACGTGCAGTTGTCTAGGCCAAGTTGATTAGAGATGGAACCAAAAAAAAAAGTTCTCTTCGGTCATGTTCGGTTATTTTGTAGCTTATTTTTTCACATTTTCATAACATCTAGGTGCAATGGTAAAAAGGGACCATCCAGTCTGCTTTTAGAGGTAGTAAATTACAAAATCAGATAATCAAATTACTAAAGTGCAGTTTGGAAGTCATAGAGAGCCTATTCCTATTTTGTCATTGTTAGATATAAAAAGCCTGGCAAATAAGTAACACCACATTGGTGCACTACATTAAAGATTATTTTTTTAATTTACTAACTAAAAGCGTACTTTATTACCAAACATTGTCTTTCAGGAAAATGTGTGGGTCCTAGTTGCCACAACTGCATTGCCAGGGAAGTATTTCAGTTGTGGTCCCCATGTGAAGTGTGTACACTGGGCAAAACTCATTTACTTACTTGACTGAGTAGCAAAGATATATTTGACATTTAAATGGTAGACTTCTTTCTGTTTTGAACCAGAGTTTGGATGTTTGACACCTATGAAAAAAACATTCACTCAAATGCTTGTTTCCTGTAGCGGAGGTTTCTGTCATGGCTGTTCTAACATGGTTTACATACACCTTTCACAAACAGGCGAATGGCCAAAGTTATGCCTGTCACAGTGATCTGGTTTCTTATGCGTTTGTGTTCTGTGATGACAGAGGACTCTTGTACAGGTGACAAATCCAAATCCACTAACCATGACAGGTCCTGCAGTTGTTCACTGAGCATGGAAATCCTGTTTACCTCCCTGACAGTAATGGTCACCAGTCACAGCAAAGCTGAACCCCACAGGTATTTTGGAGACAATGTTCTTTGCCATATTGCAGTTCAACAGGTTCAAGTACTACTAAGATAAATACTCACAATGTTCCAATAGCTTCTCATTTGTGATTAGATTGTAGCTACAGATAGTACGTAGTGGAAAATTCCCTACTGAGACAATAATGATGCCTGGCCTTAATTTCTGCTGTTAGCAGAGTGTGATATTACACACTGATGTGGAGGAATACGAAAAAACCCTATCAAAAGGAGAATTAAGTTCATATGTATATATACATATTATATATTACTATTATTAGTAGGATTGTTGTGTTTGTGTGTGTATGCTTGATCTAGTCAAAACAAATTAATTAAATTGAGAATGTTCCATGACTATCTCAGGATTACCTATATACTAAGTAAATGAGAAAGCCAATAAGTCGTTCTGTCATGTGAAGTGGCACTCTATTATAAGCAATTTATTCAGATTACATTAAACAATCAACCCCTCAACCCAATCAAGCACACAATAGGTGAAATATAATTGCTAGACCGTGCCCCTGTGGCAACCAACTAAATGACAAAGCCATTCTTAAACACTCAGACTGTGTCCTTCATTTTACAGGCAGGTCATAAAATCACCAGGCGTGACTATAAAAATTTACACTTGAGGACAAACTGGTTCAGGATGCATTGGCTGCAGCACCTTTGGTTGTTCCAGATGTGATAACTGTGGAAATGCAGTTCCCTTTACCATGTAAGCATGTTCAGCACCCCTGTCTGTTGGACAGCTCCCTCCCACATTTAAAGCATGTGTATTATCAAAGCAACAACTGCACGGCTTCAGGGCTCCAAATTCCAAATAGACTGGTTCTGCTGCTCAGCTTATGATAAGGTTTGATTTCAATCACCCATGGGGGAGGGGGGGGGGGCGCTTTTCTTACTGTGTTTTCTCTGGACACGTCGACTATAAACAGAAAATAAAGACCCAAAGAAATGGCAGACAGGGCAGAACCTAAAGGGATTCTTTGAAATTAGGCTCACAACAAAACTCACAGGAAGAATTCTGTGGGCCAGCTTGGCCACCTGGCCAATACGGTGCTCTTTTTGTTGCTGCAAACGTGTATGCTGAGGCTACCTGAACTGAATTTGAATCACCACATGACGTAGGCTCTTTTTCTAGCAGTAACGTTCCACTGGTAACAGAGTCTACACATCACGCTTGGTCTGTGCCAGGCGCTTAAACGCACAATTTGTTGCACCAGCTAACCCCACAAGCCCTGCACCCCACACTTCTATTTCTTTTTCCATGCAAAAGATAAAACTAATAATTGTATTCACGCAGTTTGATATACACGGTAAAACAGCAGATGGAAATATATGTATATACATATGTCTATGTGATTAAGTACCTGTACTGTCATACAAGTCCGAAAGACAACTAAACATCATGGGTTGAAAGCGAGAAGTAACAGGCTTTTTTACAGCAGAATTTTCTGCCCGAATTTAAGCTCACGCGATGGAAATTGAGCAGAAACACTTACGCATTTTCTGGAATGAATGGAATCGTGGCTGAGAGCAGTGCAGGGAAAATCAGCAGGGCCCGGTTCCCCGTTTTCGAGATGTGCAGTGCGATTGAGGCGCAAATCTCCATGTGAAAGGGACTGGAGGCTGCTGCAGTCCACGTCTGCCTCGACCACAAGTCAAGATGTTCGTCCAGCGAAAAATACCAAACATTCAGAAAGAGTTGCGCCTCTCTGCGGCGCCGCCACCATTCCCTCGGATGTAAGTGAAATGAAACCCCTCAGGTGATCAGCAGTGGAGGCTGCCTAGAGCTCGGAAGATAGTCCTCTGGACTGAGGAGGGGAATGTCCTGTGATTTTTGATGAGGGATCAAATCTGTACAGGCCCTCAAGTCTTTAAAGCAGTGAATCCAAAAAAATGACTTCCTTCGTTGGTTTCTTCTTCAACAATCAGCGGAAATAAAACCTACCAGGAAAGACAGTATTTATCAAGAGATGGAAAAAGATAAAGTCAATTCCCAAGTTTGTCCGTTTTTTCTTTTTGCTAGTTTTTTTTTTTTTTTTTCTTCCCGTATATCTTTGAAACAAATGCAGATCAGTATAGACGCCAGACAGGAGACGGCATCAATAGACGGCAATCGCTGGCTGCTTATTTACAGCATTGCTGATACAAGTACAGGAGCGTCCTACAAAGAAGAAAGAAAGAAAGAATAGGAAAAAATCTAAGAACGCCTATTGGACAAAATTAAGAATATCCGTCCCACTGCAACCATCACACGCGCCGCATCAGGACAAATGGCTTGTCATAGGCTGCTCCAAAAATCGCAGAGCATATGGTACACGGCATTTTCTATCAGGGGTAAAGGAAACAATCCAGGAGATGCTGTTCCCCTCCTAAAAAGACAGCCTCGCTGTCATTGATTACATAAGCGCAGCTATTAGTAATAATCCTACGTGTCAGGGAGAGAAGGTGTCTGATCCTGGCGGCGTGGAACGCGGCACCAGCATCATCCGTGTGTTGCACATAAAGCGGGTTCTTTCTGCCACAGGCTCCTAATGGCTCCCCCGCTCTCTGCAGTCCATGACTTGAATAGCGAACACGTTGAAATCACAGTCTCAAGCTACGGCTCTCTGAAACGCACGCGTGTTTGAGTGCGTGCAGCCGTGTCCGAGTCACGTGTGTGTATGTGTGCGTGGGTCAGTCAAAGTAAGTGGACGTGGGTGCGCGTCTGTGGAGGCGTGATCGTGTTCCTGTGCTGCTCTGCGACCACTTCAACTCTGACCACTCTGCCTGATTGTCCATCTGCTTATTTAAATCACCCAGCGGTCGTCAATTATCAGGGATCAATGGCATAAACGCACAAAGCCCACAGCTGATGTCTGCGTGTGTATGCGTGCGTGCGTGCGTTAGTACGCGACCGTGTGTGACTCAGTTGTTGATGAGGTATGGTTGCCACCTACAGGCATTAGTCTCAATCGAGTCACCTAAGAAGACCATTTCCACAGCGTTCATCCTCATCATATTCAACATGTGCGGTCAGTTCACCAGCATGCCTGCAAACACAGCAGCTAAAGGAAATATAACTGATGCACTGGACTCGGATTGTACTTCCCCACCATTTATAAGTAGCATAGACAACTCATTTCACACACTGCATTAGTCATAGTGCACGTTTACATACAGCCATTTGTTGTTCTTACCAACATAGACAAAGGGGAACACAAGTAACCTAGGCAACCTCTGCGTGTGGCTGAAGTCTGCCTCTTACCATGCTGATGGTCATTCAAAGAAAAATGTTCCACTTAGGTGAAGGGGTGTGTGTGTGTGTGGGAGGGGGTGGGGGGGCAGTGACTTGCTAACCTTCAGGTATGGACAAGTAAGTGTACATTCATTTGATCTAAGATGGCTAGCCTGTCTCATTAGATGACATAATGGGCCACATTTCAGCTATGTGACATTGTGCACATTTCAGGAGCCACAAAGGTGGTGCTGCCAACGGGGACAGAGTAAGACAGAGGTAGGGAGCAGAGATGAATATAAATCAGTCATAATGGAACCGTATTGTATTGAACATGATGTTCTGATCACACACATGCAAAGACAGAGGGTGAGGATTGAAAGCCTTTGGGCTCTTTGAAGTAAATGATTGCAATTCATCTATGCAGCAAAAGTAGCAAAGAATGAGAACTATTCGCCAAGAGTACCAGAAATGAGCTCCACCGCACGGTTAGATGTCTCTGGAAGATATTCAAATATGTGAAAAGGAAGTGATTTGTATGTTTCACTATCACCAGATGACCAGATGGGCACCGATGAAGCTTTATGAACGTTGTAGGAGATCGGACTAAGCAAAATAAATAGTAATCATTTTCTTCACCACAGCTGCAGGCTGTTATACTCTTACACTCACTCATATACCTTCCCCATGTTGGCTAAATGGCTAAATGCTGTCTATATAGGATGAGGTTCTATAAATGATAATATTTATATTAAACTTGAGGGACACAGGGGACTGCATTCATCAGAAGTTTGCCTTTTCTGCGTAACCTGCACAGCAAACACAGTCTAAACACAGAAAATATATACTTTAAGTATCTGATCATAAGAACCACGAAGCATGTTTACTCAGGATTTGTACTCAACAAACAGCACTGTAGCTCTGTGTATGCACTCTATAAAGGGATATTGAAGACTGCAAACTATTGACCTTATTGACTAATTGAAATAAATATATATATATATGTATGATTATATATGTACATATATGTATATATATATTTAAACTGTATGGTGACATTCAAAATGTGTTTAAAGTTAAGGAACCTGTTCTTAATAATAATAACTAATAGTTAATAGTTAAAAATAAACAGAAATTGAAATAAAAAAAAGTAAACCAAACCATTTAACATTCTGTGAGTTGACAATGTTAAAAAAATCCACTTCAGCCAGACTTGTTCATCCAAGGACTAACCTCTTTCAGGAGCGAGGCTCCTGCAGCCTCTGTCCATCCATGTTTTCTATTGAATATGAAAATGTGCATTCATTCTGACTTTAGGAAAAGTTTTTTTGTGAATGCTGACATCTTTTCAAATTGTGATTGTTTTGGGAAAAAGAGGTGCGTGAAAATACCCTGACAGATTCCAACGGGGACAGACATGGTACATGCTGATGTTGTGTTCGACTGTGTTCTCGTTGGGTCTGTCAGACTTCTTCTCTCGTCAGTCAGTCCTTGTCATTGTCTGTCAGCTTCCACACTCTTACACAGTATATCTGGAACACACAGTGCTGTTCACATTATGTCAATCAGGCAAATGTACATTGAATGGTATTTACAGCTAATTTCTGGTCTTGACCAGGGGATTGATTTGACACTTCATAATGTTGATCCGTTCACACAGGCTGTGTCGTTTACCCTGTGAAATATTTGAAAATGTTTCAGTCTCATCGTAGCGTCCAGTCATTTTTAAACATCCTTTTTAAGGTACTTTTTGTTTGGATTCTCTGCCAAGAAAAATCATTTTCGGTGATCAACACCACTGATCATTTTTCTCTAAGAGGCTGTTAAAGGTTTTCATTTCTGATATTTTAAGTATGGAGGAAAATTCCAATTAACCCTTCACTCACATTTATACAACACACAAAAGTGCAGCCTTTTCTGGACTAAACACCTCCCAAATCTATTGATATATTGACTGGGAGTAATTTTGGGTTAAGTGTCTTGGCTAGGAACACTCTAGAAGCAGACCAGAAGAAGTTGGCAACAACCTTCAACCTTCATCTGGTTGAAGGTTGACCCCAGTGGCCAATTAAAATATCAATTACTAGATTACTAGAATCAAAAGACATTACCGCAAGTCAAGAGTGGGCTAAAAAATGAACATGGGGATTAGTATTAAGATGTTTGGCCCAGTGGCACAAAATCAGGTTTAGCGCAAGAACATTTTTCTAAAAAATTTAGATTTAATTCTTTTATTTTTATAATTTTACATCATTGCCCTTGTGAAACATGTTTCTGAGACACCGTGGATAAATCCATCACCTCTAGTTTTAATACAATTATTAGTTTAAAAAAATGTGAAGTGTTCTCCAAATGTACTTGCCTGCTTGATGAAAACTAAATTCAATACGATTAAAGGTGCAGTCTGTCTAAGATAAATGCTAATTCATTCAGACAGAGACAAACATACAGTATCATATTTATATATGATATACAAAAAAAAAACATGAACAAAACGATGTAATACACTTTGGTTTGTAAATTTGTCATAATGTTTAATAAGCATCTCAGTTGCAGTTTCTTTATGTAACAGTTTAGGTCATGTCAATGTGTAATTTAAATGAAGAAACTCTATTTAAATATCTGATTTATCACAGTAGTGACTGTTGATAAATGATAAATAGGAAGACTGTTGAAGAGTCCTCTGGAAAATCAGATTTCATCAAACGAATTTCAGATTTTGAAGTCTTTCAAAATGTTATTATTTGTTTAATTCATATTAAACTGATACATTTTTTTGACTTCCAAATTCATACACTTGCATTAATGTGACTTTAAAAGGCTTTTCATTTCCATGCAATAAAATAGTCTGGTTGTACCACATCTTATCTGCTAATTACCATGTATCACACATTCATGCTCACTTCAGACTGAAAACGGTTTGGTTTTTCCGCCTTATTATGTAAAACACGGAACTGTCTTCCCTTGTGCATTAGTTAGATATCGTTCAGCACAGAGGCAGCTTATTTAAGTGAAAGGAACTGTAATGTGTATAATTTGTGTTTGTTCTGACCTCTCTGTCGGTCACTGTCTTTTAGATGTGACCCTAATAACATTGAATATCAAAGACCCATTTTTACCATCATCGTATTCATACTTTAATGAAACATGAATTTGAATTTTCTGGAACTCCCACAGAGAACAAAAAAATTAAAAACAGAAGTGCGGGGAACGAGAGGGAGGGAAACAGAGGCTTGATGTTGCTGAAAATAAACCTCTCAGCAAGTCAATGTCAACCACATACTGCTTCAACAATGCACGCCGTCATTATGTTGTTGTTTTTTTTTTATCATGCAAAGACAAAATAAATATACATTATGTTTTAATTTGCCTAATTTGAAGCCATACAACACTTATTCCATGTGTCAAAGCAAATTCAATCCAACCCACTTAAGGCTTTTGAAAGAAGAAATGTTTACGACAGGTTGACGGCCTACAGTTAGTATTTATCGACGGAGTCAGGAGAAAATCATACACAAAACCCAAGGGTAGAAAGAACTGCTGAATGTGCATGACTGAAGGAATGAACAGCTAAAGTCTGTTGTATAAACTCAATGAAAATACAAAAAGCTACAAGCTAACCTTCAGCATTTATTATTCTCAGTTCTCATGGATAAAAGCTGAAGTGGCTGAAGTCTGTGCACAAACCATTCAAACTTATTCCTCCAGTATTAGGTTTAAAAGAGAACCTTGTGTGGCGTGTTGTCAAAACACATTCCATCTCTGCTAAAACCTCTGACTGTGGTCAAACAAAGGGTCCTAATGTCCTGAGTGAAAACACTTCAGTCTCTCTCAAATCAGCTGGCCGAGATGAAATATTAAGAATATGAAAGAATCTCAGAAGTTTTAAAGAGTTTAATGCTCCAAGTCTTCAGGGTAAAATGGGATTCGTTTCATTCACTGGTGCAGACATCCTGGCTTCAAAGTCTGTCAAACAAATTGAAGGACACAGATGGGAAAAGCTATGTCCAAGTGTTTGACAAATTATATGCAGAGATTGCTTCACTTGATTCCTTTTAATCCCCCCATATTGATCTGTAGCCACTTTTCATTCAAAATACATTTGGTCTCTCTATTTCCTTCTAGACATTCCAATTTAATCTTTCCTCTTTTCCATCATTCTGCTGAGACCGTTGGCTTTGCCACTGGGGGAGCTCACAACCCAGGCTGCTTTCAGGGACAAACTTCAAGAAGCCATCTGATAGAAGTTGGAGGGAAGGATGCAACGGAAAAATGCGGGGGGAAGAGAGCAAATAAAAGAAAGGGAGAAGAAAGAGAGAGGATCCTCTAACACTAGGAAGCCTCTTCAATTATTCAAATGGCCGCCATCCCATTGCACTTGTTCTGTCTGCTTGGTTTGAATATTAAAATGGTTGCCCCCAAAGAGACAGATATCCAGAAGATAAAACCCACGCAGAGAGCAAAGGCTGAGGCTGCTTGACTCATTCACCACAGCAGTCGATAAATGCAGGACTAACTGACTGCATGACTTTGAAGAAGGATGTATTCACGTCACGTTTCTTTTTTCCTAAATTCCATTAAAGACAGGGTGAAAGACAGCATTATTAGCATCAAGGAGAGTGTTTAGTGCCTATAGAAGTCAGAGGCTACTTCTTCTATAAGAAAGTGCAGTGCTAATGGACATCCTAATCTTTTGGTGCCTACAATCGTTTTTCTCTCGAGAATTGCTCATCTCTAATCCAAGATGTCACTACACTTAAATAAATCCAAAAACAATATCATGTTATATCACCACCTCGGCTTCAAGGGTATTGGGAAAAGGTGTAAAAAACGGCAATGAAGTTACTTTAAAATTGATAATGTATTATCATTGTTTCTTCTTACAAGTTATTGTTACTGTTGTTTTGACTGAGTGTTAAAATAAAATAAAAATTTTAGACGTTAGATGCTTAAGTACCTGTCAGATTTGCTCCCAACACACAATCTGTTCTCAAAACCATTGTGTTAA